TAAAAATATTTTGAACCTCAAATGTTATCTTTTAATAGTTAATGACATGTTATACATTATAAAAAAAATGTGATTATGTCTGTAGGTACTCTGTATAATCAGTAATTTTTGTAAACTTATATTTATATTATTATTTATTATAATTATTTATAAACTATAATCATATGAGTGTAGAATATTACAATACTCACTGTGTTATATTTTCTAAAGATAATCACAAAAAAAAATAATAATAATAAATTAATAAATTAAATCAAAAATAAAGATTTAGTATTGAAGTAGTGTCACTGGAGGCTCCTTCTCAGCTTCTCTCACGCTTAAATAAACATAACATCACTAACATCTGTGCTACCACAACATGCCTACTACAACATGCCTTGTACATGATTTTCTAAAATTTACTTATTGTATCAATTAAATAGGTACAGATTGTATATATTATCTATTTTTATTAATGAAAAAAAAAGGAAAAATATAATCAAAATTTTTGAAATTAGGTAGTTACATAATTTGATAATAATAGATAATTAATAATAGATACTTAGTTATTTTTGGTTTTAATTTTATTAATACAATTAATATTTAATGGTATAATATAATTAGGTATGATTTATTGATCTATTTTGCATTCCGAATTATATTATATGAAAATATTTTTATTAAAACCCCTTGTAAAATATACATAGGCAATAGAATATTCAGTATTATGGTTCCCTGCCATATCAGAATAAAATTGATAAGTTTTAAATTTCCGAAAGCTATCTATCATCATTCTTGATTCTTCACTTCTTTAGTAATATCATAGAACAGTAGTAATATTACACTTTTACAGAATATTGATTATTATACAAAATAAGACTATTGACTACTGATAAATTATTTAATATTTTATTGGACTATTATATTATGGATTTTGAAAAGGTAAAGGAAAAAACTTTTGAAGATGCACATAAAGGTAATGTTGATCAAGTTATAAAAGCAGTTGAAGAGCATTTGAAACTGTTAAAAGAAGTGGATGTTGTACGTAATATTCTGATGATTAATTTTAGTTTTTATATTTAACYAATTTAAAAATCTAATTAACAATTAAGCCATTCATTTATTATTGTTTGAATGTTATAACGATAAGATTTTACTTTGCTGACTAATCATACAACCTATATCTAACCAATTGTATACATGTTTAGAACAATCGATTGCTCCTTCATTGGGCAGCGCTTGGGGGACATGATAGACTTGTACGATATCTTCTCGAAAATGGTCAACCAGAAGATTCTCTAGATGACGTAAATATATAAATTATATAATATTATCTGATAGGTAGTAAATTTAAAATCATTGTCTTCTCATTCAGATGCAAACTACTCCTCTTATATTGGCAGCATCAGGTGGCCGCATTGATGTAGTAAAAACTCTAATTGAATATGGAGTAAATATCAACGCAAAAAATCAAGAAGGACATTCTGCACTTCAATATGCAGCTTCAAAAGGTTGGACAGAAGTAAGTCAATATTAAATACTCTTAGTAAATTATTAATATTATATGTACTATAAAATTATTTAGATAGTCAGATATTTAGTATCMAAAGGCGCTGAAGTTAATATTGCTGATAATAGAGGAGCAACACCATTACATAGATGTGCATCAAAAGGAAACTTATCAGTGCTAAAAATTTTGTTAGACTGTGATGTACATGTTGATGCTAAAGATAATTACGGAAACACACCACTGTAAAAAATTAATAATTAATAATTAAACCATAGAATTAAGTTTTTAATATAAACGGTTTCTTTTTTTCTAGCCATTTAGCTTGTGAAGAAGGACGTGTACAAGAAGCTGGATTATTGATTAAAAGTGGAGCTGATAGCACTCTCTTGAATAAAGAAAAATTAACACCTTTTGACTTAGCACCATCTGATGTTCAAGGCATTTTGAAAAAAATATAAAAATTGTCCGATGTGCGAGGATCATAATGTAATATTTTGTACAATTATTAATTTTAAAAGTGGACTGAATAATGTTAAAACATTCTTCTCTCGTAAGTGGTAAAAGAGTTCAAGAAAAATAATAATTTAATTATATTTTAATCCTTCTGTTAAAAATTAACCAAAATATATGGTTTGTGACCAAAGTCCAAATGCATTTTAAGAATCACCGCCAATAATCAATATTTTTTAATGTGATTTCTTTTAGTGGAATCTTAAGAAAAATTTGGTCTTATATCTGAAATTGTTATGCTTGGAATATTTTTTGTTAATAACTTTTTTGAAGTTGATTAAAAAAATATAACTACTATACAATTCAAGTTGCAACTGATAAAAGCTTTGATTTTCTTGAAATTAATAATGTATTGATCTGACTTGATTGTAATGCCAATATTTTTATAAAATTGACTAAAAATATCTATCTTTAAGTAGAGATTTGTGTTCAATTAACTTGGTTAATTATATATTTTTCTAATTGAATTCAGTAATTAATATTTTATTGATTTTCCATAAATGTCCTTGTGGGCTATGGTTTTATGTGACTTGGTATTCTACAAACAGCTATTAGGTATCAATATTTACCAGCCAAATCTCATAAAATACCTATTAATTATCATACTAATAAAGTACCTATGTAAAAATAATTTCAATTTTTGTATTTTCAATTAGAAATCACTTACTATGTGTTCATGTTAACATTGTGTGTACTAAAAAATTAGTGGTTATAATAATATGTATTAAATAATGCAGATAAAGTCAAATTTTACGCAATTGATATACAATATCAGTCACCCACTTCCTATTTATTATAAATGATAATAATAATATAATTTAGTTTTATAATTGTTCTAAAATAGTCTTATTGCATATATTTAAATAACTAATTAGTATTGTGATGAAATTATTAAATTTAATTAGACTATTCATTAAAGCATTGATAATACAATATTTTGAATGTCATTGCTTCTATCTAAAATGCCTGGTAAAATGAAATTTCAATTCTTGTATAAAAGAAAATAATTTTAAACTTTTACCCTTTCAAGTCATAGTCCAGCTACAATCAACCAGARAAGAAGCGTCATAGGAGGCTATGATTTGATTTAAACATTTACCTACTTAGAATACAGATAAATAATGTAAATAATAAATTTAATCAAAATAACATATATCTCCATATTCCCAATTTTTCAACGTCTTCCAGACTTAAAGASWCGCGCCTTGCCTATGCAATTAACAATCCCGCACCTAACCCTAATAATAATATGTCACTGTTTGACCTTTATATAAAACATACTTTTCATTTTAATCAGATCAGTGAAACTAATATTAATTCTACTAGMAAAGTGCATAACCTCCAATAACAAATGAAAAAAGGTTAGCAAGTGGGAACCGCTCTGCTGTATAGTAGGGTGTAGGTCACTATAATGGATGTGTTAAATTTAAAATCAATGATATATCATTGTACCTTTACAAAAAAAGTTTCAAAGTGAAGATGATCTTTCAGTCTATGTTCATTAAATTTTACAATAGTGTTTTTGATATTGCTATTAAAGTAACTTATTTTAAGATTAGTATTACCACATTTATGGGAGGCTGATTTAATCTTTACCAAAAACATTGCAATTATTAGGTATATTAATGAATAATTATTAAAACACTTTACATTTTTATAGTATTATATTATTGGCTACCAATCACTTATAAGTTTTTGAGTAAATAATGTCTTACCAAAGATCGTAGGACAGAGTATATGTAATAAATTTATTATCTCTTAAAATTAATCTTAATAATTAAAAAATGGTGTTCCAATATTGGATAATATAGTTTTTGAATTACAACGAAATAACCGGAGCGACCGGAGCCGGCAGGTGAAGGGAGCCACTATATACTTATAGAATTTACGAACAAAAGTCCGGTAAAAAAAGACCCGCGAAAAAAAGTCCGGTGAACAAAAGTCCGGTTTATTTATTACACATATGTCGTACAAGAAAACATTAA